CTATTCTGGAAAAGAAGCCTGTTGTCAATATCAGAAGTTTCAGCTTTATCTATGTGCTTCTGAAATTTTTTTGCAAAGGGGGAATATAATTGGCTGTATCAACCACTCAAAAAGTGCTTCAGCACTTTTGCTTCCCGATAGCTACCAGTTTTTTGGGCACTTATTATTATGTCGTGCTTATGCTGCAGAAGGCAATTTTAAAAATTCAAAAGAAGAGTATGAAAGGTGCTTGGAGCTTAAGACAGATTTTCATGCTGGTTGGATATGCCTAAAATTAATGGAATCTCAATATGAACTGCAAACCTTTTCAAACGTTGTTGAGTTAAGGTTCAAGGAATGCTTGAAAGGGTGGAATAATTCATGGAATATGTGGATGGCTGTATATGGTTTAGTGATGGGCCTGACATGCATATGGAATCAGGATTTTCCTTCTGCAGAGAAATTTCTGGAGCAAGCTTGTTCATTAGCCAATTCGGAGAGCTGCATTTTCCTTTGTCATGGTATCCACCTATTAATGGAGATTTGGTTTTAGGATGACCTCTAAGTGTCACAATACTGCTTTAAAGTTTAACTACGTATATTTTTTTATCTTCCTTTTTTGTGCTTTAGTTGATCCCTCTTCACATGGAAATTATATCATTGATGGTTCAGGTGTCACTTTTATGGAGTTAGCACGGCTGTTTCATGATTCGCAATTTTTATCAAGTGCCATAAGGAGTCTCTGTAAAACCCATATGACTTCCTTGGTCCCAGTACCTATTGTCTCAGCATTGTTGGCCCAAGCAGAAGGAAGCCTTGGTTCTAGGAAAAAATGGGAGAGAAACCTTCGTCTTGAATGGTTTTCTTGGCCACCAGGTTCACTCCCTGCCCACCCTCTCTTTCTACTGTCGTTCTGTCTGTTTCATTTTTTTTATTTCCTTTTTATATATATTTTTGCCACTAAGGGTGTATGTGTGTACATGTGTGTGAGAGATGAGGAACTGATCCTGCTACTGCCTTACATAGAAAGCAGCTATGGTGGGGAAATACTTTTCCCTCCTTTGGTCAGCTAGTTATGGTGGGAATTGTTCCTAAGTTGCTTCCCAAGTAAAAGAGCTCCCTTTATTGGGGCATTTTTCTTCCAAACTGCTGTCGGAGGAAATTTTTTATACCGCTTCTAGTAATTATTGATCACAAATGGAAGTCACAATAAAACAATTGCACCTCAAAGCATCCTCTTTTACTTAGTCTTCATCTGCACATGTCTCCCCTGTAACCAATCTACCTCATTACGAAGTAGATTTAAAATGGGCAGAGCCTCAAACCCCCAATCTGGTACATTTCTCAAAAACTGAATATTCCATATCAACACCCAGGTTAATGAAGGCCTCCTTATTTCTAGCCACATAAAAATCATGCCAGAAAGAGTCGATGAAGAGTGCTCACCTTCAATTTCAACAGAAATATTAGCTAAAAACTCATGTCATCCCTTTCTAATCCACTTCCAAATGCTTACAGCAGAAGGATTTCTACACTCAGAAAGTCAACCATTACATGTCTCCCCACACTTGACATGAATGAATGACCTCCAGAGTGGTATTTTTGTCTGCCAAGAGTCTCCTAAGCCCTTTATGAAGGTTGGTCTTAATAAAGGAAAAGGAGATTAGTGGTTTACCCAACTATTTCTATTAGTTGTTCGGCTACTCCCATTTAACCAAATGTTGCTTCAAATTGTTGCCCCTACTTCCTCAAAGAATTCTCCTTCAGATGTTTTAACTTCCTTTAGCCACCAAGCAAGGATGTGATAAAGAAACAAGAAGTAAATGGGGAAGTTTGGGAGAGTGTTTTAAATACCACCTCTTAAAGGATGAATGGCTAAATACCCAAATAAGCCCCTGAACTATATCAAAAAAATCAATTCAGCCTTTATCATTTTATCGCGTTTAAATAAGCCCCTAAACTGTTATTTTGGGTCAAGTAAACTCCTCTCTTTAACCGTTGACTAACTTCCATTAGTTAAAGGTACATGTGGCACTTTTATATCATGTCATTTACTACGTGGCAAATGATGTGGTTTTAAATATTGTTGATTAGGATTGAGTAAATAGGTAAAAGAGTAAGCACACAAATCCTAATTAATAATAATTAATGCCACGTTATCTATCATGTGGCAGATTACATGGTATAAAAGTGTCACATGTATAGTTGACTAATGGAAGTTAGTCAATTTGTTAGGGAGAGGGGTTTATTTGACCCGAAATAAAAGTTCATGAGCTTATTTGAATGCAATAAAAGGATAGGGATTGAATTGATTTTTGTGACATGGTTCAAGGGCTTATTTGGATATTTAGCTAAGATGAATAGACCAAAAATAAGATTTAACTGAATGAAACTATATGAACCTCAATATTTGAAGAAAGAAATGAGAACATTATGATTTTATTTAGCACCAATGATAGTAATGGGCCTCTAATAATATATTAGATCAATCGGTTTATCCAAGTCTTGCAAAATGGGAACTCGCAGCATTAAGTCTGTAGAGTAATTGACTGGTGCAGGGCATTAGTATTCATTGTGTCTATGGATGTTCTTGCTATGAATTGACAGCTGCATCCTTCTAGGCATAGGTTGACTCTATTATAGTAAATCGAAGCTTATAAGCTGGCTTGATAAATAAATGTGCTTTGATTGTGATGATTAAAATTTTGTTACTAGTACAAGTAGCTATGTCTGTAATGATAATTCAGATAAGTTTTCTGTTTTATGCAGAAATGAGACCTGCAGAGCTCTTTTTTCAAATGCATTTGCTTGCAAGACAGATGGAATCTGATTCTGACAGTTCATCCAGGGTGGAGTGCTGTCAAAGTCCCCAGCAATGGGTTCTTCGGGCAATCCATGCAAACCCTTCTAACTTGAGATATTGGAAAGTTCTGCAAAAGCTTGTGTAACTACTCAGTCTCAATTCTGCAAATTGGACAACGAGAAGCAAAATTTGCAAGATTTTGTACAGAATACCTAGGACTTATTCCTCATCTTACCATTCAAGATTTTGTAGATTCTGTGTTTTCTTGCATGCAATTGATTGACCTCTATTGTCATCTCTGTAGATTATGTCATCATACTCACCCCAATGTAAGTAAAAACCGTCATTGTAATTTGCTGAAGAAATTGCAGCTGCTTCCTTAAAACTTAGGCTTTAGTCATAATGCAAATATTGATCTGAAGATGTCATTGCAGAAAATTGTGATTATAGCTTCTAATCGGGTTCTGTAGGAATTTTTTGTGGATTTCATCATTGGATTGTCTTAAATATGGTTTTATTGAAGATTTTACTCATTGCAGTAAAGTTGTCAATGTGTTGCTAGTTGCTTTAGCTACCGCAAAATTTCATTCATTTGTTCTTGATATCCCATGTGACCCAAGCTGTTGTTATGCCAAGGGACACAATGGTAGTCTCATCTTCTCGAAGTATGTCAGAAAGAACGCAGAAAATGTTTGAAAACATCCAAATTCTTTACAAAATCAAAGTGGGGTTACAACCTGTTCCTCCATTATGCGAAGCATCAGAATTCTGCAATTCCTCACAATCGCCAACTTAGCTCATGGTCCTGACCATCATCATGGAGCAAGAGGTCGCTCATGCTCCTTGCATGAGTCCGTCTCAAGCTCTCTTAAGAATTGATTCACTACTCAGCAATATTCTTGGAACTTAGAAACATGCAAGAACATGCACATTATTCTGTTTGTATCACCATGTTTTGATTCTTGAGCTCTGGCATTTTAGAGAAAACCGGTGTTAAAGTATGGGCTAGAGCATAGCAGCAATCACACGGTGGTTATCTTATGCTCAAGCTCAGATGGATCTCAGCCCATTAAAGAAAGAGGATCTCGGAGAGTGATTAAAATTTAAAAGTCAAGCCCTGGTCCCATGGAGGGACGAGCATTGAGATCATGCACGAGGCAGTTTCTAACCAGTTGGGCTGGGGAGTATTTAGACCTAAGAGAAGGAATTCAATCAAGTTTCTGGCCTTCTATCTTATGCTGTCCCCTTTAAGCACTCCTTGATAATTGTACGATAGCAGTTGCATTCTTTTCAGGCGTCAGCAGCTGGCAGCTGCAGGCCTGCAACTTGCCTTCCAGCTAAAAGCTCCAACATGACAACCCCAAATGCGAAGCCGGGAGTGGATGAGCACCAAATAGATAGTCTGTGCTGGCAGCTGAATTGCAGGACGAGCATGACTGTTCATTCACATATGACTTCTAAGCCTGCAGCAGCAGCCACAAAGCAAGCAGCCAGGCGGAAAAGTGTCAAATCTTGCCCTTTCAGACCAACGCTGCTTAGGCTTCTCCACAGGCCATAGGCTCTGGATTGCTCTTTTGTTTACAAAGCATTCCTTGGCGATCTTCAAGCAGAATTCAACGTCTGCCGCTTTGATTTCTCAGCTTCCTTCTTGACCCTTCGATCGGCGGGACACCTAAACTTGAACTCCCCAACGGCCTGCTCATTAAGTAACTTACCGACGGATCTTAGAGAGATGAGATTTCTCACACCAAAGCTAAACATATTTCGTTCTAGCTAGTGTCAAGGGCTCAAGGCTATCCTAAGCTTTCTTTTAAACCCAGCAGCATACTGTAAAATCAATGTATCGTCTCTCAATTTCTGATCCCAGCCTGTCAGTATTTGATCAACTATAATTTGAAATTCAATACCAACCAACTGGTAAGGATCATCATGACACAAACCGCCGTAGATTGCAACTCGAAAACCATTATTAAGACCCAAAAGGGATCTCTGTGATTAAATTTAGGCTTTAACAAATCAACTGACGCAAATTGAAGGATATGAGGCTACCTTTTGTTCTATAATAATTGCATATAAGCCTTCAAATTATCACTTTCAACACCATTTAGTTACAAAAATTTGTTTTAAATGAAAAACACGAACAGTAAATGTAAATTCCAAGTGCATTACTTCCCAAAGTGTTCATCAGCCAAAGGATTAATCCACACAGTCCAATCACTTGATTTGTAAAACATGTAAATTAGATGCACAATTTGAAAATCCATTACATCAGGAAGTCAACTCTTGTTATCATCCCAAGCTAATATTATCAAATTGATACCAGAAAAGGAATACACAATTTAGCTTATCCTAGCACCAATTAGTGAGTCAGAGTTATTACATTTCTTGGTTTCTGATGATCTCTGTACCCAACTCCATATTGAACACATGGTCAATCAATCTTGCATTTGCTGAGGCACATCCGGCGGACTATTGTTGCCGCATAAATCAGTCCTACCAAAGCAAGAAGCAACACTGCAACAATGGACAAAAAGGAAATCCATGATAAGAAAACGGTATCTTGAAAGAAATATAGAATTGAATACTGCCCAGACTCCAAGATTTACGTGAATTCGTGCAATTAAAACCATCAAGCAAGAAACAGAGAAATATAATTGGTTTTTTACCTTTACTTGGTAAAGAAAAATACTTGCGGAAATTAGAAGATGGTGCACCTATGAGAAATTATTGTAAAGCTAGCTGATCAAACAACTACCAGTAGTTCTAGGATTCAATATCAAAAGCAAGCCAACAATCTGCCAGTCTTTGGTTCATGGTTTCTGCACTTCTTAGATGGTAGTTTCATTTTGCATTACTGCAACATATCCGCCATGTTCCACTATCCTGTTTCCTCCCAGACATTTTTGTGTGCTATAAATTTTTTAATGCTACTAAAATGAGGTAAAATGAAGGCTAGATGGATTTGACAAGGAAAACCATAAGCATCAAGAACAACTTACAAGCTAAAACAGAATAGACCAGAATAGCCAAGCGATATTTAACAATCCATGGTAACATCACTTCCAGAGAGCAGTGCCTCCGATCTTGTCTTGCTTTAATTGTAGAATTCTGTGCTTGCAATTCTGATAATGAAATATTTACACCAGTCACAGGAAGTCCATTTATATCGCAGACTTGAATTTTCAAGGTCACTGGAAATGCATCCCAATCTATCTCAATGGCTCCAAAATTTGGTTCACCTATAGAATCCAAAAACATTGAAACTCGATCAAGTGTTAACATCCAATAATTGGAAAAAAGAAGATGACAAACATACCATACGTGCATGACCTATATCTGCAAGTTTGGCTCATAACTCTCATTGTACTAGGTGTAAACCATGCCAAAAATCTCACAATGAAATGCAACGGTGATGGGAGCACCTTCTCAACAGCTTGGGTTAGCCCACTTGAGGTAATGTCATACAAAGGATATCCAGCTCCACAGTCATACCGTGTAATTTCTCCAAAATGAACATCTCCACTTATGAAGAAGACTCCATCTCTCTGTTCAAGAAAAAAAAACCATTATAATGGCAAAATAGATGTCTATAATAACCTCCCCTCAGACCAGAAGATGAAAAGATAAAGGGGAAGGGGAGACTATCGAACAAATCACTGCTTATTTGAAGAGACAGGAGAACAAAATTGAAAGTAGTTCAGCTGAAATAGAGGTGCATGACACGAATATGTGTCGATGATTATTACCTTAGTATCTGCTATCAACTTAAAAAGGCGATTCCTCTCCTTGGGAAAACGTCCCCAAGACTCCATATAAAACAAGGGGCCAGTTGTAGCTGAAAGATTTGATATAACCTGAAGTAAAGGCAGATACAGTCACTAAGTCATGCCGAGTATCATAAACTGGAAAAACAAAAGCAATATGAAAATGCAAATTAGAATCCTTTCTAGAGAAATTAAAGTGAAAAATCTTAAGTAAAGGGTAAAGGAATCATCTCTGATTAAAATTCAGGCAAATATAGGAATACGGAATACTGATGCATCCATCATCCAATACGTATATTTCTGACAAAAATGTGCTGCTAATTATGGCTTAGAGAGAGAACAAACAGCTTCAGGGTGTTGGCATATGAATTTTTTTCTAACAAGGAGCTCATTTACAACAAAGATATATTGAATGAGAAGATTCAATATAGAACTTTCACAATTGAAGTAGATATTTGACATACCTGAATGGAAGAGCCAATTATGGTAATGGTTGATGGTGGACCCCTCAACTCTTTCCCTAACCAAGACCATTGTGATTCCCCCAAGACACTTCCATCACTAGATATAGGATCTCTGTGATATCGAGTATCTAATAGGATAATCTGAGGAAGCTAGTTGACCACAATTAGTAGAAGTCTATTTATAGGTGAAGAGTCAGTTATTGTGGTAGAAAGAAAGAGAGGGAGAGACAAAAATCTCATAGTCAAGAAAAAACATTTCACTCACTAGATTTTAATCCATCAGTAGAGAAAAGGCAATAGTTGGAAAGCATTTTGCAAGTTATACCTTGACTTGTTTACTTGGAGGGCCTAATGTGTAAGATGTGTAAACACCAGCCTGCTTGCGCCTACAATATGAAAGCCGTGAAGATGGCCAATAATCCTCAATTAAGTTAGATAAAGGGAGCAAATAGATTATTGCAATGGAAAGCAGTCGGGTAGAAGGGGTGAAAGCAAGGGTGACCTGGGACTATCTTGGGGTTCATCTAAGAAATCAAGGAGAAGCCTCTGATTAGTAATTTTCTGAGAAAATTCTTTGCCAGCATCATTGAGTCCATAATCATGATCATCCCAAGTACCAATGACCTACAGCGATAGATTATAGTTACAATAATGTATTTAAAGTAGTTGTGTGCAATGTGGATATAAGAAAAGAAGATAGTAAGTAATGAGTGTTAACCTTAGCATTGGCGCGAAGACGAGAATAACCGGGAATGTTCTTAGCCATATTGTATCTGGAAAGCATTTGGGAGTGAGAGGAAGGAACGAACCTGGGAACATTCCTCCAGGGACCAATAGTCCTTTCCTTTCCCAGAATCTTGAAAGGCCGTCTAATGTCTCCATATATGTTGTCACCAAGCCATATGAATACTTGGGGATCAAACTTGTTGATGGCGTCCCAGATGGGCTGCACCACCACCCAATCAGGCGGTCACCCACCACCATACATGAAGAAAACTACTAGAAGTATAAAAACATAAACTACTATTTGATCCATGCATCAACCATTAGTTCTATAACAATAATATAATTGCAATTACTATTATTAAGTTAAGGAACAGATTAATACTTACGATTCAAAAATGCATCAACGTTAAAAAAAAGAGTAAAGAGAAGAACCTGAGGAGCGCTTTGGTTGGCACAAGATCCGAAAGCAATGCGAGATAGCAAGTGATTATCGGCGTATGAACCGGCGCTTGCTATCAACACCTGCAAAACTCCTATACCACTGCTAGCAACCTCTCCATGTCTTCTTCGTCTTCTTCTTCTTTTAAATAATTATTTACTAACCATTGGAACCTCTGCCAGAATCAGAGATCAGAGGAGGAACAGGATTGGAAGTTCCATGAGGAAACGCACTGTTGACGTCTATCAAAAAGTGAACACTTGGCCTCAATTACTCATTATTACCCAACTTGTTTAGGCGGCGACTCATAAATTACACAAACAAACTCACCTATTGCAACCAGCACCTGTGTTAAAAGATCGATACGCATTCTCATCTGTTGGAATAAAAAACCAGACAGGTAATGCGTTGACATATGGGTTATTGGGCTGCTAGAATTAATACTTTCCAAATATATATATATATATATATATCTGAGCATATGTATCTATCTCTGTGTGTGTGTTACATCACATAAACATAGCATCCTAAAAGGGGAATATATTCGAAACTAGCCTTGCCACGAATGGTTTAAACCCAAGGTGGGCAAATGGCAGCCACGGATGAGGCTGGTAGCCCGATCCCCCAGCCACACATAGAAATTGGAATTACAAGAAGGGCCCAAACAAATATCAAAGAGGACTTTATCTGTGGAGCATAGAAAGCCCGTTTGCAAGAGCGTTATTGTAATTGCCTTTGCCAAGTCTGCCTTCTGCCCTTCTGGGTCTGGGCTTCTTCAGCTCAATAACCTGAAGTACGAAGGCTAGAGCCTTCGAGGATTGAGAAGATGCTGATGCAAAGCTCGGCGATATTTGCAACAAAGCCAGCGTCGGCACCTCTTGGGGTAAAAGCAGTGTATAGAACATCATCAGGCGATTCCAATTCCATGGCTGCTACCGTCCGCGGCCCCAAGTGGGCTCAGAAGACCATAACTCTTCCTCCCCACCGCCGAGGCTGCCATCTCGTTACCTCTCAGGTAACCAACAAGTCTATTCTACTAGCCTGATAATTCCATTTTTCTTCCCTACGGTTTCCGGGACCTTTCTTGACTTGTCTCTTGGGAGTCAGATATTGAAGGAAATTAGACCAGATTTATCGGAATTTAAGTGTGGCCTCGCTCATCTATTCTGTGAGTGTCATTGGCTTTCTAGTTTCCTCCTCTCTCTATGTGAAGTTTATCTTAAAAATGTTTTCACCAATTCCAGTGCATCACACAAGTGCTTCTCTAACCATCAATGAGAATTATGACTCGGATGTTCGTGACGACACGGAGACGTTCCTCAACAAAATAGTTCCAGAGGTAAACTTTCTTAATTTCATTTTGCCCCAGGAGGAAGGGAAGGCAGAAGTTTCTTTATTTTTTTTTCCCTAGCTTTCTAAGTGGTGCTTGGAATTTGGATGTCCATTTTTCAGGGAAGATCTGCGCCTTGGAAGCATACACTTGAAGGTTTGTTTCAGTTCCTATTTCACAACTTCGGACTCCTTACTCTTTGAACTAGACTAACATAACATGAATCCTGCTCCTGGCCTGTCAATTTGTCTATTTAGCAATTTTGAGGATTCGTTTTACCTTTTGCAGGTCCTGATGATATGCCAGCCCATATCAAATCATCAATGTTTGGCTGCTCCCTTACGTGCGTATATGATAAGATACATACACTACTTTTTATTTACTTCAAATGATTTTTGTGTTCAGTTTCCATTTCACCCCTTCTTCTTGTTATTCTACAGGATTCCTATCACAGATGGACGGCTTAACATGGGAACTTGGCAGGTAAACAACCTTTTTTTAACTTTTCAAACTATTTGAAATTCCTTCCCTTTTTTTTTTTTTTGTTCTTTTTTTTATTGTCAATAGCTAATTTAACATCTGTGGTTTTGTGATTAATAGCTTAATGAAACGTTTTGCAATATTGATGTTTAATTAGTTTATTCTAAATGCTCAACTTCTAATGGAATTTGCTTGGAGTACCACCTGCTTCATTCACATCCAGCATAGCAAGGCTGAAAAATGCATTATATTTGTCAGAGCTTTTGTTTTGTTTGTTTGTTGAAGCATTTTCAGTTCTTGTTGTACATAAGAACGTCATTGTTATGAAACTAAAAACAAGGCAATAGATGGTGATGAATGGATTCCTTGTAGTTGAACATGTCACTAAAATAGTTTCCGATCATACCGGTCATGTTGCTCCAAACTAGAATTAACTTTTGCATCAACGCTGGTTCTTCAAATGCCAGTTTTCAAGACAAACTCCAACAGTAATAATAATCTTTATTGAATAAAATAGCATAAACAGTAAAGTACACTATTTCGGAATTTGGAAGATAGAAGGTATATGGTTTTAGCGGTTTAGGCCCATCATTAATTGGATGTATTGCATATTTGTTGTGATGTCTTGTTTTCAAGTATGCCAATGGACCTTATTTGCTCATATGTATTAGTTTAAATGATGAACGGCGTGGAAGTTAAAATTTTTTATAGAAATAATATGTAGCAAAAAACACAACACTTCTTGTCATGTCTGGAATCATAACTATACTTGTTGGCCTGAACTCAGTATGTTTTTCTGTTGTACTTGTTAAGGGAATGAGCAAGCCAACAATGTGGCATTATAACCTCTCTCTCTCTCTTGAACAGTGGGCACTGTGACCTGACTTTCACACATGGACACACACATTAACTAATATAGTCCTAATACATTAACAATGATCATCCAACTGTGAGTATGGTCTTTATCAGATTTGATTGTCCATATGCACTCAAAACATGAATATTCTCATGCATCGCATCTCTTGCTTTGAATGTCATAGAGTGATTTACTCTGTGTGATTGCTTGAACTCTGGCCACATCATGTTTGAATTTGCCTCACTTTTTTCCCGCTTAAAAAATGTGCAATTTATTTTTCTCATTGTTACGCTGCAGGGAATATGGCTTTGTGAGCACCGAGATGCTCCAACAGCTCGTAAAGTGGTGGTCACCCTTAATGGCATCTGAGGTCCTAAAATATGGAGATACTCTGTTTCTTTTATCTTTGTAATGGTATTGTACTTAAAAGGTGGTTTTTGGATAAGATCTGCTTTACTTGTTGATGGTATGTTATTATTATTGTGTATTCCAGATTTTATTCAGGATTTGGTCCTGTGATAGATGAATATTTGTTAGAATGCTATAAGCTGCAAGTGTTATTTTGTCGAATGACCATTGACGGTAGGATGATACATAGGAGCGTCAGTTTGTATTAGTTGGATTGATGCTTGTTGCTGCTGAAAATAGAATCGCATGAGTTCATGTGACTCGTTGCCTCGTTTCCAACGCAGGAAACTGCAATAAAGGACGCGGAATTTGACGGATTCGAGTTCCTGTGGTAGTGTCTTAAATAGACGGAGTAGAATGTGGAAAGAATTGAGGGGTAAAAAAAATAAACGATTGTATCAATAAAAGCTCTATTTACAGAACTTAAAAATATAAAATGAGTAAACTACTTAAACAAATAAATAATGAAAAAACAGAGGCAATCCGCAGTAAAGGCTTGTGGGGTTCATGTGAAACTCCAAACGAATATGGGAAGAAGGTAATCGGTCAGCGCATCATGACAGTGAACTCGTCAAAGCTGAGTACACCGTCTCCGTTGAGATCGAAGGCACGAATCATGGCCTTGCAATCCTTGATAGACTTGGACTCACCCAGCCGACGGAGCATCTTCTCCAAACTGGCGGGGTTATGCACTCTGACACCTTCCATCACATACATCCAAAAGCGTCCCTCAGCTCTTTTTTTTCTCTCCTCCTCAGTGGAGCCTCCACCCGCCACCAGCTCCTGAAATTCATGGAACCCCGCATCCCCGTCTCCGTCCAAGTCTGATGACTTAACGGCTAATTCGGCTTCGTCCATGGACGTGGAGTGCCCTCCCGCTGTTCTTACGCACCTTTGCAATTCTTCTGCTGATAGTTTTCCGTCACCGTTTGTGTCAATGAAATCAAACACCATTTGGGGTCGGAGCTGGCCTCGCTGCCGTTACTGCTGCATCTTCTAGCATCTTCAGAATATGACTTTATTTCTTGGGGATAGTTCCCTCCTCAATCTAGCGAGTACTGATTTTGGCTGTGAATTGCTGCTAGCAGTAGTACTAGTAGTAGCAATGAAATCACCATTAGAATTCATTCTGAAAACGTCCATGTATTGATCTCTCTCTCTCTCTCTCTCTCTCTCTCTCTGGGGTGTGTCTGGGTACTCTAGCTTGTTTCGTATTGTCGGTGAATTGGTGAAAGGCGAAAAGGCACAGGTAGTAGCTAGCTGATTGTGAATTGTGATTCAACTGGGCACTAGGAGGAATGAAAGGGTATATATAGCTTCGGATTTGGATGTTTTAGAATATTGGAAAAAAATTTTTAATTGTGAATTCTGATAAGAGACAGAGTATATATAAGCCGTGGAAGGATTGATGGATAGTGTTTGGGAAATGTGGCATCAGATATGGTTGACAGGCTGGGACTCTATAGAGAACACGGTTTTGAATTCCTTCTTTTTTTTTCCCCTGATGCAGTAGTAATATAATATCTATCACTAAAAGTAGTAATGGGTTTGTTTGCATATAGTTTTGTTAGTTGGCTTCCGCCAGTTGTTTTTACACGGTTGCAGAGGCGGCACTGCCGCTGGTCTGGGAAGCTTCCTTCGGTCCTGGGGCCTCCAAGTTCAGAGTCAGAACTCATGGGAGAGGGAGACTTCTATCTCGTCTCTTCTTTTAGGACAATTTCGTAAATTTCTCTTTCTTTGTGGGGCACGTCACGGCTGATATATCAAATGATTTCATTTGGACAGGTGTTTGCATATGTCACGACTTCATAACACGCATTCTACGTTGTCAAATAGCTATCTGCATTTTACTTCTTTTTCTTATGGATAATTATATTTGGAGTTTCTCTTTTAACTTTTATAAGTGAATTTAAAAAAAAAAAAATTATCAAAAAACGCTTGAGTATTGTTTGGTGTATAATCGTGTGATATTTTTATATTTTATGTTAATATTATATAAATATAATAATTAATTATTAAATATAAAAATGTATTTGATTTAAAATAATTTTAAAATATTATATATTTTTTATAATTATATGATTACAGACAAAAAAAAAAGTTGAATACATGAAACAACGTTTTAAATTACTCCCATTATTTTCGTACACGCTTTATATGGTTATAAACAGAAAGAGCTGGACCACCCGGATGTGCTGCGAGGTCTTTGATTTATCCTTTTCATGTGTATGGCATTGGCTGCTGCCAAGATTTTTTTTCTGTTTTGGTTGATTAACGTATTAGAAGCGCATTTGGTAGTGAACGAGCAAATATAGTAGCGGCTCTAGCGAGTCGGTTTAACCGCCATCGGTCCCCTCTCGTCGTCTCGTTTGTATCAAAACAAAAAAAAAAAAAAACCGAAGGAATTTACCACTTCATCTTCAAAAAAGGAAAAGGAAAAACAATTTAACAAAAACCACAGAAATCACAGGTATGAAATTGAATATAATATATACAAAGTAAAATATCAATTTAAGTCTTTTCTATTTATCATTGGATTAGTATTTAGTAGTAGTACTGGTATTTTATTTATTCTAGGAAAAAAGAAAATAAGCGGGGGAGGGGGAAATGCAAAATCTCTTGTAATTTGGTTAATCATCTTGATAGTTGAAATTAATAGATAGCTCGTAGCAGTTAGCAGCAGCAGCAGGGGGGCGAGTTATGGCAACGTCGTCAAGCTCATCGGTGATATCGGGAATCCCACTCTCTCAAGTACGATGGGATACTTCCAGAGGGGGAGGGGGAAGAAGCATAGTTAGGGTTAACCGTCCTGTTCCTACCGCTTCTCTGCCTTTGACCCGTTTCCGTTTCCATCTTTCCCCAACCCCTGCCGCTGCCAGGTAAACTATTTTTTCTGAAAATAGAATTTAATCTGCATTTCACGGTACTTCGCGAACCATTATATGAGAATTCTTTCACTTGGTCATAACAATTTATTTTAACTAGAATATATTATTATGTCTATATTGTGGTTAATATAGTGGATTAGTTTTCAAGTATCAGCTTTCTTGATTAAGTAATATTATCTCAATTCTCAACTCAACGAATGGTTATCTGAAATTGAGATGTTTTGGCGGATGAAGGTGGCAGGGTGACGTTAGAAGTAGAAATACTATTGGATTGGAATTCCAGGATTGGAAAAATAATACTATTAGGAAGAAGAAGAAGCAGAGCGGTGCTTGCAAAGCATGGAAATGGACTTCCCCTGTCTCATTCTCACAACAGTGCAAAAGGTGGATCCCCTGCTGCTCCTCCCTTAACCGCAACTGCTACCGCAAGATAACCCCCTTGCCTCTTGCAACATCTGCGCCGACATTCTTTCCTGACAAATCATGCTTTCCTCTCTCCTCCCACAAACTCAACACCACTTCTGTAAGTATTTTGTTTCTTTCTCTGCTTTCAACTCCCTGAATGCCATTTTTACACAATTCTTTAATCTTAGTAATAATTATTTTCAGGGCAAACATATCTGCGCTCCTTGTGCTACTGTTGGTCCAGATGAACCGCATGCAGCAAGTACGACCTGGCCAGATGGTCTTCTTGAAAAACAAGATTTTGATTCATTATATCCACAATTTCAAACAACTGAATTAGAGGGGTTTTTATCTACTCAACTTCCTTCCCACCCAAAGTTACATCGAGGACAACTGAAAAATGGCCTTCGCTACCTTATTTTGCCAAATAAAGTTCCACCAAACAGGTATAATCTACCCTTCCAACATTGGCGAGCCACACATTATAAAGAAATAAAAAAATTCTGAGATGAATTCATATCCCATCTTGATTAACATTTTAGTTCATGAAAGAATGTTTACTTTCACTTTCTTCTTGGGTGTTAAAATCATTGAATGCCACCCATCTATTAGGTTGCAAATTCTCAATAAAATCTGGGCTTGGTTGTTGTGTTCATTTTCCTTTCCAATTCCCTATTATCATGAATTGAGGAATTGAAAAACAAACCCCAAGCTTAATCTTCAACTGCTGACATTAGTTCCTTCTTGTTTTATAGATAGAGCTGGTGAAGAGCTTCAATCATTACACGTGTCACCTTTTTCCTTCTATAATCTGGCTACTGATGTTTTTTGACGTCAACGCACTATTTTCACTGTGCACCATGAGCATAGTTTTCGTGCTTTCTTCTCTTGTTAGGCATAGACAGATTGTAATTATAATTCCATAACAAACTTGAGTTTTAAAATCAGCTTCTTTTATATGTCAACAGTTTTTATGATGTTAAAAGCACTGTGCTTGGCTCGTGTTTAATTATCCAGGAAACTTCACTTGAAGAAACATGATTTTTGAAAATGACATAGTGAAATGTAAGGCGTCATCAATATATCTGCTTTATGTAGATGAGATAATACTCTTTCTTTTTCTCTCTTGCATTTACATAATATTTTGGAACAACTTTAGGTTTGAAGCACATATGGAGGTTCATGTGGGATCAATTGATGAGGAAGATGATGAGCAAGGAATTGCACATATGATTGAACATGTCGCATTCCTTGGAAGCAAGAAACGTGAGAAACTTCTTGGTACCGGGGCTCGTTCAAATGCTTACACTGATTTCCACCATACAGTTTTTCACATCCATTCACCAACTTGTTCCAAGGTTTGTCCTTCCTTTCCCTTTTCTATATGTTTGCTTGTTAACCTTAACTTTCTAATTCAGTTGTATTGTCTTTGCTTGTTTGCTTGCCTCAGGGATAATGTTCTTGAGTCTTCCATTCTTTGTTTATATATGTATTTTACTCTTTTTTATGTGCTTTTATTTTGGTATGATTTTCTTTTTGCTGTTCTATAATTTTTTATTTTGGCATAGACTTAGAGAAGAAGTTAAACAAGTTAATATTTGGTTCAGGATAGCTATTTTACCTTTCCGTGTTCGCCTGACAATCAGTGAAATGATTTATGGAAGAGCCATCTGTTGAAATTTTCTAACTGAGTATTGGTTCAATGGGTTGGTTTATACCTACAATTGGTTATTGTATGTTTGATGGTAAAAGGTTGTTGTTTACCAGGAATCGGATGAAGATTTACTTCCACTTGTTCTGGATGCCTTGAATGAGGTATGAAACTCAACTACATCAAGATCTTTTTTTGAAAGATAATTTGGCCAAGTTGAAAGATAAGGACCTAGTGCTTATGTTATA